AGTTCTTCTTCTTCCGCCACGGTGTGTTGCTTCGAGGGGTCGCGCCAGTGCGGGTAGTTTTTCATGAACGCCTCCTTTGTGTAGGGCCGCGGCACGCGATGCGCATCAAAGGTGCCGACACCTGTGCCGCGTAGGATGCCCTGAAGGTGTTGCGACGCTGGTCCGGGGAGGGGATGTTCTTCAGTTCCAAAGACAGCGCATGTTGCGGTTTCGATTTCCATGCTTGACATCCCTTCGTCGAGGGGCGCGAGTCGTTCTGCTTCGGCGATGGCGGCGAGACCACAGCCGGCAATTGTACTTGTGGAGGCGGTGGGCGTATGGCAATCCCTGCAGATGCCGTCGGGATCAGGGTCATGCACCGCCAACTCACGAGAGTGCGAGTGATGCGGCACCCATGGTCTTCCGTCGGGGTGTTTCCAGTCCGATCGGTGAATGTGCTCGAAGCGCAATGGAACTAGATCGATTAACTCCTGTGAGTCGCCACTGCAGTCGGGAATGTCGAAGTCGAGAATGTAGACTCTATTCTCGGAGTATGCTCGTCCGATCTGCTTGCGCGCCATGTTGGGCGCGGTGTAGTGGAGCAGGATGTCACGCGTCTCGGGGTCGGTGCTGAGGTCAAGTCCGCAATCCATGAGTTGCGCCGCCGAGAGGAGATTGAAGCGCAGATTCTGCACGATCAACACGTCATTTAGCGTGATGTGCGTCATGCATCACGAGCCTTGAGAACCACGATTCCTTGCGCGCTTGCGCGCAGTCGTGTGTTGTTTGCCACAGTAACATAAGTGACTATGGGGGTGGAGATGGCGTTGGATATGTAACGCTCAGAGCCCACCATATGTTGCCCGCAGCAGCTATCCAGGTACCACGTGTTGTAGCCCCTGTTGTCGTTACGTGCGAGCAGCGCCAATCGCGGCGTAACGATGTGCGGTGTGTCGAACTTGAGAAAATGTTCGCGCGAGATCCAATCGATCGGTGCCGCCCGTGAATCAGGTATGTACGGGGGGCTTTCAAGCAGTGGGACTGGAAGATCCAAGTCTTGATTGCTGTCGCCGCTGAAATGTGGCGTGTAGTGAACGGATTGTTATCCGTGAATGCCCCGATTGGGTGGCGTGCTGGCTCTGGTGATGGCGTACGCACGCGGGGACGACGCAATCCGCTCGTTTTCGTCATGGTCAAGTTGCCGATGGAACGGGAGCAGGCTGTAACGGCTGCTGCTGCTGATGCTGAACCGCTGGGTTCAGGTTGCACGATGGGGGCTGGTACCCCTGGGCTTGACGCGTCTCATTTTGTGCGTCTTGTCGGCCGGACCACCAGCTCCGACAGCTCCAGTACCTCTAGTACGAGCACCTCCATGACCATCAGCTCCAGGGCCTCCAGCTCCAGCAGCGCCACTCCGAAGGCGGGTGCGCCAAGCGTACCAATCGCGCAGCTGCTGTGGTGAGAGAGGCTCCCGTAGTGTAGACGCAGTACCCCTAGGCTCAGCACCCCCAGACTCAGCACCCCCAGGCTCCACACCCGCAGGCTCAGCACCCCCAGGCTCCGCACTCGCAGGCTCAGCACCCCCAGGCTCCACACGCTCAGGCTCCGCACCTGCAGGCTCAGCACCACCAGACGCAGCACCTCGAGCAGTACCAGAGTCACCAGTGACCTCGATAGGCTCAACCAAGGGGAGTGGGTCTACCTGAGACACACCTGAAGGAGCAAGACCCTGAGGGGGGAGGGGGTTTACCGGAGGGGGACCTAGAGCGAGGAAGAGCGGCGGGGGGGGGAGAGGGGCAGTGCGGTAGGGGAAGAGACGGTAAAAGGGAACCGACTCGTCAAACGTGACGTCCTGAGAGAGGAAGACATGGCGCGAGGTGGGGTGGTAAAACTGCCAGCCAAGCGCGTCAGGGGGGAAGCCAAAGAAGACACAGGGAATGGCGCGGGAGGAGAGCTTGTCCGCGGAGGTATCGCAGACAAAGGCATGAGCGCCCCAGATCCGGAACACCGATGCATCGCCAACCTCCCCCGTCCAACGCAGTGTAGGCGAGGTCTCCGACAAGGAGACACGAGGCCAGAGGTTGAGCTGATGCGCAGCGTACCGGACCGCAAACGGCCACAGAAAATGGGGAGCAGCCGCATGGATCATGGAGGTACGAGCGACCTCCATGACTAAGCCAATGCGGCGCTCAGCAACCCCGTTCTGCTGCGGGGAGGCCGGAAGCGTGAACGACTGGAGGATGCCCTCCCCACGACAAAAGCCCCGCAAGAGGTCGGAGGAGAACTCACCAACTCTGTCAGATTGCAGACGCAGGACAGGAAGGTCCGTGCGGAACCGCTCGCGGAGCTGGAGACGGACAGCGCGGATCCAAGGGATCAGAACATTAGGGACCTCCCCCTTGCTGCGCAAGGGGAAGACCGTGGTGTAACGCGTGTAGTCGTCAACCACCAGCAAAAAATACCGCTCGCGGCCCTGTCCCTGGACACGGGCTGGGCCCCACTCGTCCATGTGGAGAGTCTGTAGGGGAGCAGTCGTCGGGGGAAACGAGGAGGAGTGAGGAGCGGCGCGCTGCCGCCCCTCGACGCAGGGAAGGCAGGGCGGGGCAGGCGAGCGCGGGAGGGGGGGCAGAGACCTCGGAAGGCCAGAGACAAGGAAGCGGGAGTGCATGCCACGGATGCGTGGCAGGGAGGGGTGACCAAGGCGGTGGTGCCAGAGGAGAGTCTGGTGCGAGAGGAGGCGAGACGAACAAGGGGCTGACTGCTGACCTGACGCAGACACCTGACCAGACGCAGCGACCTGAGTCGGCTCAGTAGTCAGTGTGTACAGGCTCGACCCTGGCCGACGGGTGAACGTGGCCAGGTGACGGCCCATCCGTGCACACGTGCAAATCGCCACACGCTGTCCTCCAGGGGTAAAGGTATCAACCCATTCATCCTGGAGGACTGCGTTGCTCACCAAGTTCGTCGAGAACGAGGGGAGGTGAAGACCTGACAGTGAGCCAGACGGAACCGCCGGACACGGGAGAACAGTAGTGGAACGTGCAAGTACTGGGCCCCCGAAGGGGTCAGCCAGAGAGACTGCAACAGGTGCAGGGAGTGGTGTGACTGTGGTACTGTCGCGAAAGAAGCAGCGGGAAGCACCTGAGTCAAGCGTGAAGGTGTGCAAGGCCTCAGCAGGCGCAGTACCAGAGAGAGCAGAGTCACTAGCACCTAGAGCAGCAGCCTTTATACTTGGGTCGGGCGGCACACACAGGTAACAGTCACCCTCAGTACCAGAAGTCAAAGCAAACATGGCAGTAAGGATAGCGTCATAGTCTAGAGCAAATATATCTACATTGTTCCGAAGCAGCTCCAGCCAACGGGGTAGCTCAGCCTCGTCGCCAAACGCTGCGTGCCAGGCGTCGCTCAGACAGGAGAATCAGCGGGACTGTGTGTGGCCAACTGTCCCGCAAGTCTAACCAGCCCGATCACCTGTGCGAATGACGTACGGGCAGCGAGCATTACTCCGAGACGCCCCACGCTGAGCGTACCACTCACGAAGCTGCTGGGGCGTAAGGGTCTCGCGCGGACGCCGCTGCAGGTGCATCTGGCCACCGCCAGAGACTCCCCACTGAACAGCTCCACCGTGACTGCCACTACGGCCGCCGCCACCACTCCAACTAGCGTACCACTCACGAAGCTGCTGGGGCGTAAGGGTCTCGCGCGGACGCCGCTGCAGCTGCATCTGGCCACCGCCAGAAACTCCCCACTGAACAGCTCCACCGCGACTGCCACGACGGCCGCCGCCACCACTCCCACTGCTGCCACCACCGCCGCCACCACTCCCACCGCTACCACGAAGACAAGTCATAGCGGGCAAAGCAAGGAGGCGTGCGACCAGCATGGCAGCACTCAGTGAAGGCAGGGCGGCGAGCAGGCACAAGGATAGCGCGTAGGGTAGGGCGGTCAGGGAAGGGCGGCGCGCGGCAAGTAGGGCGGCGCGCGAGCAGTCAGGGTCGGCGCGCGGCCAGCAGGGCGGCGCGCGGGCTGCAGAGGGCAGCGCGCGGGCAGGCAGGGGCGGCGCGCGGGCAGGCAGGGGCGGCGCGTGGGCTGCAAAGGGTAGCGCGCGGGCAGGCAGGGGCGGCGCGCGGGCAGGCAGGGGCGGCGCGCGACCACCAGGCGGCGCGCGGGCTGCAGAGGGCGGCGCGCGGGCACGCATTGCGGCGCGCGGGCTGCAAAGGGCGGCGCGCGGGGCTGCAAGGGGCAGCGCGCGGGCTGCAAGGGCGGCGCGCGGCCAGCAGGGCGGCTCGCGGGCTGCAGACGGGCGGCGCGCGGGCTGCACGGGGCGGCGCAACGCAGGGCAGGGCGTGCGCGGGGCAGCGCGACGCAGGGCAGGGCAGGGCGTGCGCGGGGCGGCGCAACGCAGGGCAGAGCGCGCGCGGGGCAGCGCGACGCAGGGCAGGGCGTGCACGGGCAGCGTGACGCAAGGCAGGGCAGGGCAGGGCGTGCGCGGGGCGGCGCAACGCAGGGCAGAGCGTGCGCGGGGCAGCGCGACGCAGGGCAGGGCGTGCACGGGCAGCGTGACGCAAGGCAGGGCAGGGCAGGGCGTGCACGGGCGGCGCAACGCAGGGCAGGGCGTGGGGTAGCGCGGTAACCGCAGTCGGTCACTAGCTAATGGTGGGCCCGGAAAAAAACAAAAAACGGTCCTACGGACCTACTGCTCTAAAACCATGTCAGAATAGTGAACGAGAATGGGTGCATTGAGCAGAGAAGTGGGTACACATGCTAACCCTAATTTGGGTTGTACCCCTTATGGGCTACCCCACTACAGCCTACACAGCACAAGCATCATTATAGTTTGACATTAACGGGGACCATAAAGCTGATCTCTACAGCAACAGAAATCCGAAAGGCTCACTCACGCCCCCCCTTCCCTAAACCCGTAAGCGGGCCTCCTTGGTAAGGTCGCTAACCTTAATTCAAGCACGTCAACACGTTGACTGATGCACGGTAACAGATATATCAACGCCTCACTCCTTTCCCTAAGCCCAGAAGCGAGCCTTCTTGATGAGGTCGCTGACCTTCACTAGATCCATCTTGGCTGCAATAATAAAGTCATTCTCACTCAAACCACCTGCAGGGGAGGGAGAGGTGAAGACCAACAGAGAGTAGAAGGAAGGTGATTGTTATTTCAATGAGGTCGCTGACCTCCATTAGATCCCTCTTGGCTGCAATTATGATGTCATTCTCACTCAAGCCACCTGCAGGGAGGGAGAGGCAGGAGGGGGAGAGGTGGGAGGGGAGTGAAGACAGCCTTATCTGGTCTGAACGCTAACCTTGACTAGATTCATCTTGGCTGCAAGTTAAAGCTGAAGTATACATTTGTCGGCAGGGTTAAGGGTTTAGGGAGTGCGCCCCACAGGTTTGGTGCAACTTTTCAAATTTCGAAAGATTTTGAACCCCTCCTTTCAAATGTATACCGGAGCTTTAAGTCATTCTCCCTCATCCCACCTATGGGTAGGGAGAGAGGTAACAGGGAAGGCTGGAAGAGAAAATAGGCGTGTTCTGAACTTGGTGTGAGTAAGCGCTGGTAAGATGTGGCGTCGGCACGTGCCTGACACCACAACGCACCTGCTGGTGCATGCAACAACTCTCCTACCGCTGAATGCGCAGGCTTATTCAACCAACAGACCTGCTCCAAGCCCGTGCCCACCTGCTGTCCCATCCCTCCCACACACTCCTGACCTGCCAGGGTAGTGGATCCATGGTCTCCTGATACCAGCCTCCCACTCACTGATTGCAGGGGGGGTGTGCAGATCCACCCGGGCCACATGCTCATGTCCGCGTGCTGCCTGCCCGCACAAAGTGCTGCGAGTGTGGTGAGAGCCCGAGGGTTGTGAAGGTACCAGCCTAGCCTCCCACTTACCTATGGCTGGAGTGCGCGGGTCAACCCTGACCACATAACCCTACTGCATGCCCATGTCCGCCTGCTGCCGCCCCCTTTCCCCGCACTCCCTCTGCTGACGGTGAAATGTGCCCAAGTTTCTCTAGCAACAGTATGTCACTCACCCATGGCAGGAGTGTGCAGGTCAACCCTCACAACGTAGCCCTGCTGCACGCTCATGTCCGCCTGCTGCGCCCCTCCGCACTGCTCCTGCTGCGCCTCCACCACGGCCCCCATCCGCTGTACTGCACCTCGTGTGCTCTCTTCATCACTCACCGATTGCAGGAGTAAAGAGGTCCACCCTGACGACGTAGCCTTGCTGCACACTCATGTCCGCCTGCTGCCCTCCCCCGCACTGCTCCTGCTGCCCCTCCACCACGGCCCCCATCCGCCGCATCAGCTCCCCCCCGCTCTCCTCGTCCCGCACTCGCCACTCGCCCCTTAGCCGCAGCCCCGAGGGTTCAGGTACTAGCTTCCAGCCAACGACCTGGAGGAGAGGGGTTTGGGGTTTCGGGTGCAAGGTTCAAAGAGAATGGCAATTAGCATCACCCATCTCAGTGGATCTGCTCCTCCCCGCTCTCCTCGTCTCCCACCCACCACTCGCCCCTTAGCCACAGCCCTGAGGGTTCGGAGAATAACTTCCAGCCAACGACCTGGAAGAGAGAAGTTCAGGGTTTAGGGTTTCAGGTGTGCGATTGCATGAATCTGGGCATTAGCAACCCTCATACTCGCCGCATCAGCTCATCCCCGCTCCCTTCGTTCGGCACACGCCACTCCCCCCTTAGCCACAGCCCCGAGGTTTCAGATATACGATACAAGCTTCCACCAAATGACCTGGAGGCGAGCGGGGTCAAGGTTTCGGGTGCAAGGTTCGGAGAGAATGGCAATTAGCATCACCCTACTCAATGGATCTGCTCTCCCCCCCTTCTCCTCGTCCGCACGCGCTACTCGCCCCTTAGCCGCAGGCCAGAGGGGTCCGAACAAGCTTCCATCCAACGATCTGGAGGAGTGGGGTTCAGGGTTTCGGGTGTGAGTTGGCATAAAAAAGGGCATTATCAACCCCCATCCGCTGCTTCAGCTTTCGCATCGCTCTCCTCACGCCGTTCACGCCACTCCCCCCTTAGCCGCAGGTCCGAGGGTTCAGATACGAGCTTCCACCGAACGACCTGCAGGAGAGGGGTTTAGGGTTTACTGTGCCAGGTATGGAGAGAATGGCAGTTAGAACCTGAGATACTCGGCCCTTTCCCATTCTCCAACGACTACTCTTCCCTTTGCCACCACATCCCGCGCATTCCCCATACCCCTCCTTTCCTTTCCCCCACCTTCCCCATACCACCCTTCCCCTCCGCACCCCCTTCACCTTCCCACTTTCCCTTCCCCCCTTCCCTCCCCCCTCCTCCTTTCTTGGCCCCCTTCAACTTGCCCTCCCCCTTCCCCCGCGCCTGACTCACCCGCTTGAGCAGCTCCCGAGCCCCTGGCTCCGCCAAACCACCCCTCTCCTTACCCCATTTGCCGCTCCTCTTCTTGCCCCACATACCGCCCCTCCCCTCTTCCTTTCCCCCAACCCCTCTTCCTTCCCCCTCCGTCCCTTCCCCCTCCCCTCCCCCCGACTGACTCACCCGCTTGAGCAGCTCCCGGGCTCCTGGCTCCGCCAATGGCTCCATGCCAGCTGGCAGCGGCGCGCAGTTTCTTGCGGCCAGGCCTGCCACCTCGCTGCAAGAAACGACAAAGGGGGGGAGAGGAGGAGACGATTGGCGGAGACAGAGCGGAAGTGAAGGTCACGAGCGGGGTAGGTTAGAGACGTGGTGTTGCAGGTTCAGCGCGCTGGTTGCCGTCTCCAAAGCAAGGGGAGGAGGTATTATTCTTAAGGCGCCCCAGAAACGGCCCGGCACACGTGGAGACTTGTGGTAGTCTGGGTTGGAGTGGTAGTAGCCAACAGTCTGGGTTCAGACACTCTCATCGCGAGTGACAAGGATCTGAAAACTTTCGAGATACTCGTTAACTGAGGCGTCGCAACCATTCCGGGCTTAGGCGCCGTGAAAGCTAAGGGAAGGCGGAGCGAGTTGATGTCGGGTCAGATGACTCGCGGTGTGTTTGAATCGACTCGCGGTGTGTTTGAATCGACTCGCGGTGTGTTTGAATCGACTCGCGGTGTGTTTGAATCGACTCGTGGTGTGTCTGAATCGACTCGCGGTGTGTCTGAATCGACTCGCGGTACAGAGAAACAGGGGGTTCGTATCTGTAATACTCTGGACCCACGCAGTCGAAGCCGCCGAGCGTACATTCCGGGAGGGAAACAAGAATAAAACTACAACAACAAAGCTGAAAGCATTGGACAAATTACGTATTCGCGGCATCGAGAGGAGCAGGGAAGCCCCACGCCGTGGTCCATCCTAAAGCACGCATTGCCAAGTCTACTCGAAATACCAATTTTCCACACGCCATGGCCAGATCCCAAAGCACGTACGTGATTCCCGACGGCAGCAGAATGCGGTGCTCCGTATCGGCATTCCCGAGGACCTTATCGGCGAACTGGCTCTCCAGCTCGCTCGGCCGCGGGTCGCGCGCTCCGTAATCTCCAATGTCGAACCGCTCGTCCGAAGCGCGCACGACCAAGGATTTCCGTTCCGACGTTAGTCGGTATTTTGGGGTTACGGAAGCCACGCGGAGTTGTTGGCGCTTCGACAGGAGGTCTGCTTGCGGCGCGAGAGACCGTTGAAGGCCAGCGGGACTAACGGCGACGGCTGATCGCAAGGCTGCCATGATGACGGTTGACGATTGACTATCGACGTTTGACGATTGACGATCAACGATCGACGCAGTCAGGCAGGCAATGATAGCACGGAACTAGGGAGCAGCTGACTTTTGCCAACGGATAAGGACCGGCGTGAGTGAAGCGGCTATGGTCAGAGCGACGTGGGTGAGGGAGTTCAGTAAGAAATAAATTGCTTCGCAAATTTGAAGATACAAATTGCATCGTGTCAACTGGGCCGAGGTTGGTGAGTTGCGAACGTTGGCTCCCTCGCGAGTCGAACGACTTGTAACCTATTGTGCGACAAAGCCAACTGTTCGTCAGAGGCTTTCTTCCAGTGCCAACTAATTCGAACGATTTCGGTGTAACTTCTCTTCGCCAACAAATTGTGGTCCGCCCCTCAGCTTCCACGCCGAACTAGCCACGTCATCAGAACCACATCCAAATCATGCCACGAGGGACATCTATTCCCAAATGTCAGCCACTTGCTACACCTCATCCTCGCCACAACAAGTAAAAAGCAAAAAGCATTTTTAGTAGCATCAACGTTCCCACTTCTCCACCCCAGCGGTTGTATCCGCGGCCTTACCGGCAGCCAACCATTTCGTTCTCTCTTTTAACTCTTAATCCCACTCTTTCTCACTGTCCGTGCGACCAACCATGGCAGCTTGTGCGTCGACCCTCGCGTCCGCCGCCGCATTTCAAGGCGTCTCCGTGCCGCGCGCCGGTCCTCTCGCCGCAGAAGGTGGCTTCCCCCACTCCGTCCTTCGACGCGCAGAGTCGCTCCCCGCGCGGGGGTACCGAGCGGTGCGCGTGCGCGCGTCGTCGCGCGCGGATGACAGCGAGGGCAGCGCGCAAAATGGCGCGCGCGCGTCTGCGGAGCACCCTCTCCGCGCGAAGCTCCTCTCCCGCCGCAGGCTTTTCGCCCTCGCGGGGCCTTTCGCGCTCGCGCTCGCCGGTTTTCCGCGGATCGCCCGCGCGGAAGGAGAAGGTGCTGACGTGGCAGTGCTGGATGCGCCTGCTGAGCCCGCCATTGTGGAGCCAACGCTGACGTCAGACGCAGTCATTTCAGCAGAAGCGTCAAACGCGAATGCTGCGGTAAGAAAAGCGGCGCGTGATAGTTAAATCGGGAGGAAGAGAGAGGAGAGCGAGGGAGAGGGGCGCGAGGGAGGAGAACGAGAGATTACACGTGGCACCAGCATTCTCCCCACATTCCCACGTCCCACTTGTCGCTTATATAGTTTATTTTTCGCGTCTCCGTGCACGTTCCCTCTTCTGTGCTGTTGCGTTCCGTTCTTGCCTCGGATTGAACAGCCTCAGCAGGAGTTGAAGGAGCAGGCGGAGGGGCAGCAGCAGGCGTTTGGCGGCGCGTGGCTGGGCGCGGCGCTGCTGGGCGCGGCGCCAGCTGGCGCGCTGGGATTCGTGCTGCGAGGGGAGCGCGCGCAGCGGGAGGCGGTGGAGGGTGACCTGGCGAAGGTGCGTGTGGGACATCAGATATGGTTCTTGAGCAAACGAACAGATGCCACCACCATGTTACCATGTTACCACCATGGCACTATGGAGGCGGTGGAGGGTGACCTGGTGAAGGTGCGTGTGGGACATCTTACATGGTTCTTGAGCAAAGGAACAAACGGCACCACCATGCCGCCACCATGGCACCACCACGGCACTATGGAGGCGGTGTGGTGGAGGGTGATTTGGTGAAGGTACGTGTGGGAAATCACGACATGGTTTTTAGCAAACGAACAAATGCCACGACCATGTCACCACCATGCCACCACCATGTTACCATGTCACCACACCACCATGGCACTACCATGTTACCATGTCACCACACCACCATGGCACTACCATGTTACCACCATGGCACTACGGACGCGGTGGAGGGTGACCTGGAGAAGGTACGTGTGGGACGTCAGACACGGGTTTTGAAGCGAAATAACGAATTCCACCACCATGCCACCACCTCCTCCCCCTCCCCCCTCCTCTCGTCCCCCCATTACCCATTGATCTCGTTTCCCTTCTCGTGCTCGCGCACCCCCATTCTCCTCCCTTTCCCTTCTCCCCCTCGCCCCTTCTCCCCTTCCCTTAAGCTCGTTATTCCTCTCATCTCACACTCCATCCTTCCCCCCTTCTCCCCCTCCTCACTGTAAGCGCAGGCGCGGGCAGCAGCGGAACGAGCATTGAAGGAGGCGGACGGGAGTTGTGCCACTGATTATTCTTTTAATCTCAGTTTTTCTCTCCTACTCTCCTTCTCTCGCTCTCCTTCCCTCCACGTTTCTCCCCCTCCCCCCTCCCCACTTCCCCATCCCCCTCCTCCCTCCCCTCTCCCCTCTCCCCTCTCCCCTCTCCCCTCTCCCCTCTCCCCTCTCCCCCCTCTCTCCCTGTAAGCGCAGGCGCGGGCAGCGCTAGCAGCAGCGGAGCGAGCAGCGAAGGAGGCGGAGGGGAGTTGAACGGGCATTACCCCAATAGCCAATGCCCATCATCCGTTCGTCTCGTTAATCCCCTTCTCCTATTCTCCCCACTCGCTCTCCATCCCTTCCCCTTCGCCTACTCTCCCCACCCACTCTCCCCTGTAAGCGCAGGCGCGGGCAGCGCTGGCAGCAGCGGAGCGAGCAGCGAAGGAGGCGGAGGGGGTGAAGGCGGAAGCAGCAGCGGCGGCGGCGGCGGCAGCAGCAGCAGAGGCGCGCGTGGGGGAGGCGGAGAGGGCTCGGAGGGAGGTGGAGGGGAAGATAGGGGAAGAGGCGGAGAGAACCAAGCGGGCGGAGGAGAAGGGTGAGTCTGTGTGAAGATGGCAATGAGAGTGAGTGAACGAAGTCACAACGAAAGGGTGGGTGGGTGTGAGTGATGGCAATGCGAATGACAACAGCACAGGGCTGAGGCGGAGGCAGCAGCACGCTTTTCAATATGCTTCAATCCACGCTGCTCTTTCAACGCAAGCAGCAGCTCGCAGCAGCACAGGCCGAGCCGAGGCAGAGACAGCAGCAGGAGCGGCATGCATAATACGGTGCTTCATTGAACCCAAACTCTTCTCCCCCGTCCCCTTCCCCTTTATGCGTCTCCCCCACTCCCCACCCTCCCTCCTTTCCCCTCCACTTCCCTCCCCCTTCCCCCCTCTCCCCCCCTTTCCCCCGTTCCCCATAACAGCGGGTCAGCTATCCACGCAGCTCTCCCAGCGGCAGCAGCAGCTGGCAGCAGCACAGGCGGAGGCACAGTCAGCAGCAGGAGCCGTCTCAGCCGCCCAAAAGGCGGCTGCCGGCCTTGCTGCCGACCTGGAAGCTTCCAGGAAGGAGCGCGAGGCGCTTCAGCAAGAGCTGGTATCTGGGCGGGTGAAGCTGCAGCAGAAGATTGGTGAGGCGGTTACCGCAAAGGGTGACGTGGCACGGTTACAAGGGAGGGTGAAGGAGCTGGAGCAGCGTGAGAAGGATGCGGCTGCTGAGCTGGATGCCAAGTCAGCGCAGCTGAAGGAGAGTGCTGACATGGAGGCCCAGCTGCGTGCCGAGCTGGCGGATGCTCAGGGTGCGCTGGCGAAGGTTGAGAGTGACGTGGCAACCCTGCAGGCTGAGCTGGCAGAAGAGAAGAGCACGTTGCAGAAAAAGGAGGAGGAAATCCAATCTCTGCATGCTGACGTGGAATCAACCAATGCCAGCCTGGCAGCCGCCCACGAGTCCCTCGAGTCGCTCCGAAACGATCTGGCCTCTGCTCGGGAGGAAGTTTCCCAGAAGCAGCAGGCTGTAACCCAGCTGGAGCTCGACGCTGAGACCCTCAAAGGCGCTGTCCGGGCAGCTGAACGGGCAGCCGAAGAAGCCCGCAGCGAACTCTCCGCCGCCCAGAAATCTCTCACGGATCTCCAGCAGCTAGCAGACGACGCGGAGGCCGGAAAGCGGGCGGCGGAAGACGCACTGGAGCGGGAGCAGCGGGCGGCAAGCGCCGCCGTCCAGGAGCTACAGATGCATTTGGCAGCATTAGGGCGGGAGAGGGAGGTGGTGGGGCGGCTGAAAAAGGGCGTGGAGGAGGCGGGGAGGGTGGTGGATGCGCTTCAGGGGGAGACTGAGGCGCTCAGGGCGGAACTGGGGGAGGTGCAGAGGCGGGAGAGGGATGGGGAGGAGGCACGGCGGGGATTGGAGGTTCGTGCGGGGTGATGGTGGGGGTGGGTGGGTGTGGGGATAGGGTTCATGTTTGATTGAGGGGTCGGTGTGGGGTTTGGGGGCGTGGTGGTGGGTGGGGTTGGGGTGGCATGTGTGTGTGCGGTGATGGGCACACCACCGCACATCCATTTTCTCTTGACTCTTTCTCCCCCTCCCTACAATCTCCCCTCCTCTCCGTCTGCTTCCATCCCCCTCCCTTCTGCGATCCCCCCTCCTGCCCAAATCCTCTCTGCACACCCTCTTTTCCTTCACATACCATTTCCTTCCCCTTTTTATTTCTCCTCAATCCACCGGTTCTCTCTCCTTTGCCCTTCCCCCCCACATTGTCCCGCCCAAAGCCTCGTTTCTCCCTCTCCCTTGGCATCCCTTCCTCCATCTTTCCAGTCCCAGTTGGCATCTCTCCTTCCTCTCCCTTGGCATCCCTCCCTCCATCTTTCCAGTCCCAGTTGGCATCTCTCCTTCCTCTCCCTTGGCATCCCTCCCTCCATCTTTCCAGTCCCAGTTGGCATCTCTCCTTCCTCTCCCTTGGCATCCCTCCCTCCATCTTTCCAGTCCCAGTTGGCATCTCCCCTTCCTCTCCCTTCGCATCCCTCCCTCCATCTTTCCAGTCCCAGTTGGCATCTCTCCTTCCTCTCCCTTCGCATCCCTCCCTCCATCTTTCCAGTCCCAGTTGGCATCTCTCCTTCCTCTCCCTTCGCATCCCTCCCTCCATCTTTCCAGTCCCAGTTGGCATCTCTCCTTCCTCTCCCTTCGCATCCCTCCCTCCATCTTTCCAGTCCCAGTTGGCATCTCTCCTTCCTCTCCCTTCGCATCCCTCCCTCCACATCTCCAGTCCCAGCTAGCATCACTCTCCGCTGGGCTGTCAGCCACACTCTTTCCCGTCACTCATTTTTCAATGCTCGTCAATCTCCCTTCGTCTCTATTTCCTTCCACCACTCCTCCCCTCCACTATCACCCTCTCCACCTCCCCTTCCCCTCACCCCCCCCCCCCCCCCTCCTCTCTTCTCGTTCCCGTCTCGGATCGCATCCTTACTTATCTGCTGAGCTGGCAGCTCTTTTCCTTCACTCTTTCTCTATCCCTTTCCCTTCCCTCTCCCTTTCAATCTGTTTTCGCATCCCTCCTGCCACCCTCCAGTCTCAGCTAGCATCGCTTTCCTTTGAGCTGGCGACCACTCTCTCTCCCTTTGAAGCCTAAATCCTAAACCCCACACCCTCCATAACCCTAAACCCCTTTCTCTCTTTCCCCTCCCCTTCACTACCCACCCACCCGCAACTTATGTTCTCATTCCCTTCACTGTTTTTATCCCTCTCTCCCCCTTCGCATCCCCCCTCCATCCCTCCCTCCAGTCCCAGCTGGAATCTCTCTCCGCTGATCTGGCGGCCGCTCGGGACGAGGCCGCCAGGCTGGCGGTGGAGAAGGAGACTGCTGACGTCAGCAGGGCGTCAGCAGAGCAGAAGGCGCAGGAGGTGCAGCAGCAGCTGGACAGCACGTTTGATGAGGTTTCAAGGCTGAAGGGCCAGGTGTGTTGCTTGGATATGGGGTTAAATGGGATGGTATGGGTGGTTGGCTGTGTGAATGGGGAGTGCAGGAGGTGCAGCAGCAGCTGGACAGCACGTTTGATGAGGTTTCAAGGCGCAAAGGGCAGGAACGTGGCGGAGAAGGTTGCAATGCAATGGGAAGGTTCAGGTGGCTGTGCGAATGAACTGAGAGGGAAGTGCGTGCCGTGCCGTTTAGCACTTCACGTTTGATGGGGGTGCAGTGTAGCAGCTGGTGGGACAGCACGTGGGACGAGCTTTCAAGGCTGAAGGGACAAGTGGGTGGCTTGGGTGTGCTTGAACTTTATTGGGAAAGTATGGGTGGCTCTGTGAATTGGTTGAGAGGGGAGTGAGTGCAGGGGGGGGGTGGGGCAGTGCAGCAGCTGTACAGCAAGTGGGATGAGGTTCCAAGGCTGAAGGGGCAGCTTCGTTGCCTGGGGTTTTCATGGGATTTAGTATGGTATTTGCGATGCGGGGTTGTTTTCTTTTTCTTGGTCAACTCAAAAATCACCTCCAGGGACAGCTTGATCTCCTGGGGGTTTCGTGGGAGGGTAAAACGGAATTTACATTGTGGGGATTGCGGCTGGGAGGAGGCAGGAGGCATTGCAAGTGAAAAGGCAAGAGAAGGAAACTTGGTGACGTGAGAGCTTCAAACAGGAGAGGATGACATTGAATTGCAGGATGTGAGGAGGAGTCACAAGTCTATCCTTACACCCTTCTCTCCCCTGCTTCCCTGTGCTGTGCACCCTGCATCCGTTTTGTCTGCCTCCCCTTTTAACACTCCTGGTGATACAGATGACCCGTGAGTTGGAAGCAGGCAAGAAGAAGTTTGAGGCGATGCTGGAGGTGAGGACAGAGGCAGCCATGCTGGTGGAGGCTCATGACCCTCTGCTCCCCCTGTGCCCTTGCTCCCCTTGTTCCCCTGCTTACCGTGTTCCCCAATTCCCGCCCCACGCCAGGTGACACAAATGACCCGTGAGCTAGAGGCGGGGGAGAAGAAGTTTGAGGCGATGCTGGAGGTGAGGGCAGAGGCAGCCATGCTGGTGGAGGCTCTGGAGGACCAGGCTTACGCCGAGGCCAAGGAGAACAAGAAGCTCAAAAAGCGGGTGAGTGCTGTGCAGGGCGCACCTTGGGTGGTTGTGTTGGGTAGGTAGTGACTTGGGTAGTCGTGCTGGCGGTGTCTCTGGAGGACCAGGCTTACGCCGAGGCAAAGGAGAACAAGAAGCTCAAGAAGCGGGTGAGTGGTGGCTGGTGAGGGTGAGTGCAGTGCACGTGTTAGGGAGGGGATGTTGGGTGGCTGCGGATGTTCTTAGAGCAGGTTGTTGTGTGGTCATTGATGCTGGTGGAATGAAGTTCTTGGGCACCAAGCTGATTTCCAGAGCAAGGAGAGCAAGAAGCTGAGACAAAGCAGCTTTTATGCTGGTTCGCATGAGCAATATCTCCATGCCTTTTCTCCCTGTCGCAATCTCCCTTTCCCGATCTCCCTGCCGCCTGTCAGAATGCTGAGCTGGAGGAGTCCAGCAAGGCGGCAGCAGCGGTGGCGGAGGAGCTGGAGACGGTGCGGGCTCAGCTGAACGCCGTACAGCAGGGTCGCATGGTGGGGTCTAAGAGCGAACAGGGGGATGCGCAGGCATGAGTGGAAGTGAGACAGTGCGGTGCTAGATAAATGAGGTGGTGATGTTTAGGATATCTTGGTTATACATAGATTTGTAAAACTGGATTCCCCTGACATAAGAACCTAGGGCACTGTCTAATCCAATCTGTGCACCTGGAATTTTCAAACGGTGTAAACAATTTGTGTATTTTATCACATTTCAAATGTAAGGCTGCTTATATTCGTTATGTGCTGAAGGTTTCAATGATACAGTTCAGTGACGTCATGTGATCGCTACCCCGCTCACAGACCGCCGCCGCCTTCGGGTTTCTGAAAGGGGATTTCCGCCGCCTCGTTTGCCATCAGATGTCTGTGATGGTTATGTTCTTCTGGATGCTCTCGGAGATAGAAAGCTTCTGCTTCTCCAGTGGGACATACGAACGCTGTAAAGTACTGTCAGTAGTATTCTGCAATTCGTTGAGACAGTTAGCAGCACGATGGCTTTGACTGGGATCAAGGCCGTGAAGAATCCTGTCCGTGTTGTGCTGCAACGGATTGCACAATTGATGTTCGTCGTTATTGGAGTGAGCATCTGGCTTTCCTCTACCCATAGCCGGATTCGACCGTGTTGAGTAATCGCTGTGACCACGCTTTACAGATTTCAGGAATTCTTATGATCGCAATGATCCTCGCCTTCCAGCAAAAGCCGAACTTCGCTCCTGGGTGGTATGCATTTCAAACTTAGCAAATGGATATACCTACCTTAGCGGAGTGACATTTCTTCCATTTTACAGGTGTATTATCGTCCTTGGTGTCTTGACTGTTGGAGCTTCTGTGTTGGGATTCGCGGGCTTCATTAACTCTGGTTGCTTCATCTGTCACTCAGCGATTCTATCTTTGGCAGCAGTCGGCTGTGGTGCATTCACCCTGGCATTGTTTGTTTCTGTAAGTTCGACACAGCGACCAATTTTATGAAGTCTGGAAACCTCATGTGTGATTTGTTTTGCAGAAGCCGGCCATTGCAAGGACCATCAACTCACGTCAGTGGAACGACGACAAGGTAAACTACTTTTCGATGCAGAAAAAGATTGGCCCACTCCTTAATGCCATATATGTTCACAGGTTTGGGCTTTCTTAACCAAGATCCAGTGGGTCTTCTTATCGGTCTTTATTTTGGAGGTGAGGCTTCTTGTCGTACAAAGGTCATCCTTAATCAGTTGCTGCAGTTCCCTGCGGTGTCCCGAATGTTGACATGTTGATGACATTCCTTGAAAATTATGTGTGCAGGTGTTGGCCCTCGTAGTCTCAGCAGTTACACACGCATGCATTCCCGTGGAAATCTATGAGGTAGGAGCAACGTAATGTTGTAGCATGTCCCCCCTGTCTGGCCAGCTTCACCCAATCTGCTTGTACAGAGCCTTGAGGAGCAACAGAGACAACGGGACGCAGAAATGCATAAGCTGAAGAAGACGGTGTAAGCATTTTCCATTTCCACAAAGAAACTATCGGTGCGTAAGTTTTGCACCTAACGTTTGTTTAACCCATCTATGTATTCCAGGGAGCAGCAGAAAACAAGAACGGAGAACACGACGGCGGCATCGCTTGCAAACAAGATGCGGTCAAAATATGGAAAGTGAGTTTCAAACAAACCAGCCAGTTTCTGCTCTGCACTATGCATGTGTCACTGAGAGTCTGAAAATCACAGGTGGACAGATGAAGACTTTGGTGAAGGCAGATCGATCTGGTAGCTTTTAAGCCACATTATTCTAAGATGTCATCAGGCTTTGCATGTTTCGTGGATCCTGCACAAAGAATTTGTAGATGCAGTATGTTTGTCATTGGCAGCCAGAAAGTTTAGTACCGTACAATACAATCTGTTTACAATCTACCGTAGAAACGGGGCCTACAAAGCTACTCCAAACTCATGGTTCTATGCAAAATCAAATCAAGTCTGTCTATTACCGGTAGTTCTACCCCATGCAATCCGCCAGCTTTTATTTTGATCCATTAGGTGTCAGTAGCTTCCATGCTGCCGACATGAGGGACCTCCTCTGGGACCTCTTGGGCAATGCTGATGCATCTTGGTCCGGTGGCGGAGCTGACTCTGATAGGGGTAAGGGGACTACAGCAGCCAGAGAGCGAATACGCTCATGGCCAAGTGGGCTAAGCCTATAGAGGTTGGATGTGGCATTGAGGGGGTTTGATGGAGCTGCAGAGCTGCATGCCTCCAGCAGCTGTGTTGTGCTATCAGCCATGTTGTGAGCTGTGCGGTTGGCTTCCTCCAAAGCACTCCTTATGTGAGGGTCACGGTCAAAGTTGAACCGGAGCATCAGTGACGATAGCAGGGAGTGGATGCTCGATGCATACGCTTGATGCTGTTGTGTTGGGAAAGGGGTGGAAGGTGAGTTGTTGAAGTCGTGGTTTGAATCAATTTGAACGATGGGAATTGAAAAACTCTGTCAACAAGGAACTGCATACAGAGCCATCACTGGACAGGTAACGAAGATTAATAAACAATCACCTGGACAGCTTCAAGCCTTCGTTGCGATTGAAGCTTTGCCAGTTTTTCTGCCAGGGACGCCTTCTCGAGTGCCTCCTGGAGGATCAAACAAATCATAGGTCAATAGTAAGCGTTCATTTCATAAAATAACCAATATGTGGAACACGAGATTACAGGCCTTGAACGTGCAAGCATGCAAACATCTCAGTGTTCAGCTTACCCGATGTAGCTGCTGTTGCATGAGATGCACGGTCGACTGAAGCGTCTTTACGGACCCCTGCAAGGGATAAAGAGGGTTAGGGAGGGATACAGTTAGGCAACATACAAATCGTGCACGCAGTGCACGCAACAATACCAATCACGGCACTGAAACGCTCGAAACCACCACAAGATTTTCCACAGCAACCCATCATGAAACGGACAACCGACCACTCACCAACGCGTGTGATAGCAGCATCGTATCCAAGCTCGTGTGCTGCAGCGCCTCGCGGAACTGCTCCTGCTCCCGCACCGCGTCCGCCATCTCCAACACCATGCGCTCCACCGCGCTCGCCAGCTGCCCGCGCTCCGCCTCCACCTTCGCCAGCCGCAGCTTCGTCTGCTCCAGCTCCTTCGCCAGTTCCGATTCCGCGGATTCCGCCCCCGACTGTGCCGCGCCCGCGCCCGCGCTGAGCCTGCGCACTCCCGCCACCTCGCTCCGCGCCTGCTGGAGGGCCTCGTGCAGGCGCTCCACCTCCTCGCTCAGGCGCTCGCACTCCTTCTCCCACGCTTCCGCCTGCGCCTTATCCTTCCGCCACTCCCTCTCCTTCTCCGCCTCCCGCTTCTGCTCCTGCTCCCTCTCCTCCTCCAGTTCTTTCTGCCGCTCCAGTTGCCTCATTCTCTCTCGTTCCTGTTCCCTCCGCCGCTCCACCTCCCGTCGCAGCTCCTTCCCCCTCTCGTCTGCCCGTTCCTTCTCCCTCTCCCGCTGCTCAGAGTGCTCCATCTCCCTCGCCCGCTCCCTCTCCTTCCTCTCCGCCCGATCACTCTCCCGTTTCGCGGCGTTGGATTGTTCTAGCAGCCGTCGCCTTTCCCCGCTCTCCGTCGTTTTCCCGTGCGACCATTCCTTCCGCGTCTCCCCCTGGAGGGGATTCTGATTTCGCCGTCCGATCTCAACCGCGCGCTTTTCCTCTATACGTCGCTTCTCCCCAGCAACAACCGCCCCCACCTTCCCCATTTCCCGCGCTAGCTGCCTCTTCCGCTCCTCCCGCAAAAAGTCTCGCTTCGCCTCCCACTCCCGCGCCTTTGCCCGGTCGTCTTCCCCCCGTTCCCGGCGCAAAGTATCCGCTCCGTCCATTAACTCCCCCTTCCGCAATTCTCTACGATACTCCATCTCCCACTTGCTCTCTCTCTCCTTTTCCAAAGCCAACGCTATCAGCGCGCTTGCGCAGCCGCCCTCCCACTCCGCCGATTCCCCATCCACGATCCCCGCGCGACGAGGTCCGCGCTCCGCCGACTGCGGACGGCCTTCCGCCGGCCGCCGGAACGACCCCGCTCCGCCCCCCTCGCGCTGGACACGCTCCGCGGAATGCGCACGGCTCCGCCGCGGTAGGCCGGCTCGGTCCGCCGTAGCGAGCGGTTCGCCTAGCTTACCAATAGCACTCGCTGCGTCGCACGGTGGCGACGGCGGCGATTCAAACACGGCCGCGCGATCTACGGCGCGCTCTTTCTCTTTCTTCGACCCGGCGACGCTCTTCGTCGCGACAGCGCGATCAACGGCGTTCCTCGCGGCGAGCTCTAGCAGCGCGTCGCGCTCCTCCACGACGAGCTGGAGGCACTTCTCGAGGCTCCGCTTCTCCTCGCGTACTATCTCCAGCTCGCCGACTGCCGTCCTGCCTGTCCCCCCTAGCTCGCTAACTGCCGTCCTGCTACTAATACCCCCTAGCTCGTCGCCCTTAGTTCGACTAGGTTGTTTCTGCTGATGCTGTTTCTCTCGCGTCTCTATCACGTGATTCCCTGTCCGCATATTCCCGCGCTCTGTAGCCGATGTTCGGCACAGCAGTATCGATTGACGCGTGAGCTTAAATTTCCTACTAAGCCATTTTCTGCTACGAATAATCTACCCATGAGCAACTATACTCGACAGCCGCCAAGCGGCTGTTTAGATATGGCATGCTGATCGATCTCTCGCGCTCTACCACTGATACTGCCTTATTATCTCTCATGCGGACTGCCGCCCTTCTCCTATAACTGCGAGGCCGTTCGATCCAATTCCATTCCATGCTCAACGAGAGCGCGGGAAGAGTGAAAGTCGCATGAAATGAAAGTCATCGTGACTCCTAACCGACAAACGTTATTCCAGGCGATCTTTGTCCGTCTGTGTTCTACCTGGTCCTGTCACCATGACAAAGTAACCACCAGTATCCGAAGCGTTTGCGCGAGGCGGTGGGTGGCATGTTGTATCCCTCTTTAGAACCACAGGTAACGCAGGAGAGAGAACTCTCTTCGCAATTCTTTGCATTTCGGTACAGTGCCATCCAGCGATGTTTTTTTCAGAGGTGAGACAAACCTTCCTCCGTCGCCACAGTCCACGGAAACAACACAGCGAGTACGTACACTAACAGTATCCGTTCCGTACCGCAAAGCAAAATCTCAATCAACCGAGGCTCGAGGCCGAGGCTAGCAAGTGGCGAGTCAACTTCCTGTTGGTGGAAGAAATGCCAAACCTAGCATTCAGTTATGCTTTGGAAAACCAATGTCATTCGACACAGTGTGCGACGCGATGGCTCTGTCTGCACTGCAGTAGGGAAGGGCATTGCATTGCATCCATGCCTGGTCCTGAGCGGCACATTTGTGTGAATGCGACGCGCATCTGCTTGTTTCGGGGAAAGCGTAACGAAAAAGACCAAGAGGGGACCCCACCACCTCCAGCAGCGGTCGGAGGCAGTTGAGGCCGTTCCAATCACGGACGAGCCGCCACTGGCGCAGAAGTGTTTATGTCGAGCGTGATCTTACGCCAAAATAATGGCAGTGTCTGTTTCGTGCATTTGCTAAGGACCAAAGGTTTAGCATCGCATATTTCCTCACATTGGATAGCACTACACCCTATGTATATAACTCCAAAGATCTTGCTAATTGTAACCTTCCAAACATAGAAATAAAAGGAAAATAATCAACAAACAAACTGTTTACCTATACTGTTTTGTGCCTAACAACTTACTTGCTAGTCCATTTATTGAGGAATGTTTGTGTTACACCTGTGGTGTTCTTTTTGACTGGATTGCGGCGGGGTACCGAAATTTAGTACCATGTCGAAGGGTTTTGACCGCCTGACTTGAACATTACTGTTGAAACAGCAGGCTAAAACGATAAACACGAAAGAGGGGTTTTCACTAGCAGCAGTTGAGATACATATAGGAAACCCTAATTGGGTTGTACTCGCTATAGAGTACCCCACTGCAGGCTAGACAAACATCACATTCTGACACACCCCCATAGTCAAAGTGGGGTATAATCAGCACAGCAAGCACGCAGAGCAGTAGGTTCACAAATACAAGCAAAGCTAGAGGCAGTCACAGAGGGCAAGTGAGGAGGAGGAGGAACTGTGAGAGGAGTGGAGATAGGAGGCGTCTGGTGAAGCCGCAAACACACGGGCAACAGGAACGGCGCGCACGGTGGCTACCGGAGCACTCAACCTCCGGACTACAGGAGTAACTGGCTCCGCGCTAAGTAGCAGCAGGAGCAACAGACCCACGGGCGACTGGCAGCAGCAGGCTCGCTGGGCTACTGGAGTACTCAACCCCCGGACTACTGGCGCTGCAGACGTCACAACGGCCACCTCCTGTCAACCTCCCCCAACTGTCCCACACCCCTTTCACACACTCCCTGCTGAACCACTAGCACCGCTCACACGCCACCCCCCTCGTACCACTCCGACGGCTCCAACACAGCCACCCCCCTCAGCGGCAGCTGCAGCAGTGGGAGACGGAGGAGGAGGAGGAGCAGGGGACGGCTCACATGTCAGAATATTATGCTCTAGCCTGTAGTGGGGTGCTCTATAGCGAGTACAACCCTTCTAGGGTTTGCTATTTGTATCCTCATTCTTGCTAGTGCAACCCTCCTCTTCTTCCTTTTAAACTTTCACATGGTATCAGAACGATATGCTCCTGGCCTGTGGGCCCCACCTCACTGCTTCCGCTGCTACTGCTACTCCCTGTCCGCCGCGCGCCCCGTGGTGCGCGGCGTCGAAATTAGGGTTTTTCAGCCCGCCGTGCGCCCCGAGGCGCGCGGCGGTTTTCTGCCCGCCGTGCGCCCCGAGGCGCGCGGGGGTTTTCTGCCCGCCGTGCGCCCCGAGGCGCGCGACGGGTTTCTGCCCCGTCACTCGGCGCGTCGCCCCCAGGAGGCGCTACGACGGGCGACGGGGACCCGCGCGTCGCCCCCCGTCGCCCGTCGTGGCCTGCGCGCGGCCCGTACGGGCTGCGCCCGCCCCCCACGCGGCGGCCATAGGGACTGCGCCAGGCCCGCGCGCGGCCCGTACGGACTGCGCCAGGCCCGCGCGCGGCTCGGGCCGCCTGCGCGCGGCTCGGGCCGCCTGCGCGCGGTTCGGGAGGCTGTGCCAGGCCCGTGGGCGGCCCGTTCTTCGCTGCCCCTGTCCTCCCCGCTGTCCCCCGTGCTTCTGAAGGCGCCCCACCCCTCCTTCTGCCCGTTCTCCTGGATTAGGGTTTGGGGGTGGGGGGTATGGGGGTGCAGCTTCTGTGTGCCGTTCCCTGCTCCTCCTCCTCCTCCGTCTCCCTGTGCTGCAGCTGCCGCTGAAGGGGGGTGGACCTGTTGGAGCCGTCGGAGTGGTACTAAGGGGGGGTGAAGGGGGAGTGGAGCTAGGGGTGAAGCAGGGGGTGTGTGTCAGGGGGGGTGGTACTGTTTGGGGGAGGTTGAACGGAGGTTGCCGTCGTGTCGCCAGCAGCACCTGTAGTCCGGGGAGTTGCTCCGGTAGCCCAGTCGTAGCCACCTGTGCCAGTCGCCCGTGGGTCCGTTGCTCGTCTGCCGCTACTTTTAGCCGCGGGGCCAGTTACTCCAGTAGTCCGGAGCGCTGTTCCGGTAGCCGCTGTGCCAGTGTGCCTCCTGTTGCCCGTGTGTCTGCAGCTTCAGCCGTCGCCTCCTATCTCCTCTCCTCTCACTGTCCCTCCTCCTCCTCACTTGCCCGTTGTGACTACCACTAGCTTTGCTCATAATTGTGAACTTTAAACTATTGCTTCCTGAACTTGTGCTCAGAATGTGTGGTGACATTGTGATCCACCCTGAGCTTGTACTGCTTTGCTTGCTCTGCTGATTACACCCCACTTTGGCTATGGGGGTGTGTCAGAATATTATGCTCTAGCCTGTAGTGGGGTGCTCTATAGCGAGTACAACCCTTCTAGGGTTTGCTATTTGTATCCTCATTCTTGCTAGTGCAACCCTCCTCTTCTTCCTTTTAAACTTTCACATCACACACCCGGCACCCCCATACTCTCCACCCCCAAACCCTAACACAGGAGCGCGGGCAGCAGCGGGGGTGGGGCGCGGTCAGAAGCTCGGGACGAACCGCACGCGGGCTGCCCGGGCCGCGCGCGGGCTGTACGGGCCGCGCGCGGGCCTGGCGCAGCCCGTACGGGCCGCGCGGGGGCTGTACGGGCCGCGCGCGGGCCTGGCGCAGCCCGTACGGGTCGCGCGCGGGCCTGGCGCAGGTCGCGCGGGCCGCGTCGGGCGACAGGGGGCGACGCGACGGTCGACAGGGGGCGACGCGCGGTTCGACGGGGCAGAAAACCGCCGCGCGCCCCGAGCGCTCGGCGGGATGAAAAATCGCCGCGCGCCCGGAGCGCGCGGCAGGCAGGGGACAGCAGGAAACCGCAGCGGAAGCATTGGGTGGGGCCCACCCACAGGATCGACCCAGGAGGGTCGACCTGCTCTGATAGCATGTTTAAACAGCAGGCTAAAACGATAAACATGAAAGAGGGGTTTTCACTAGCAGCAGTTGAGATACATATAGGAAACCATAATTGGGTTGTACTCGCTATAGAGTACCCCACTGCAGGCTAGACAAACATCACATTCTGACAATTACGCATTTGTCTTTTGTTACAATCCTAAACAGGACGTAGCGAAGGATCGTCCCAGGTTTGATCGCAGAGAGTAGTTGTTGCAGCGGAAGTGTTGACCACAGGTCAGAGTTAATGTAAATGACTGAGATGATAAAAACATGCATACATCGGGTTTATATATAGAATACAGAGAATACGGAACGACCAAGACTAGCCATGTACTCTAAGGGGTACATTCCCTTATTACAGCGAAGTTCAACCGTGCGGCGCGGGAACCCGTTTC